TTTTTTTTTTTGTCTTTTCTTTTTTGGTGCTGGGATCGAACCCAGGGCGTCACACATGCTAGGCAAGCGCTGTACCACCGAGCTACATCCCAGCCCCAGCTAAGATATTTTTAAATATTAAGTCTGTAGCCTAATAGGAATCTCCATATCCCTAATCACTGAGCAGTATTAGGATAGGTGCCTACATGGAAATCTTAACAATTGTGTAAGTGGCCTTGACTCCCAGGTGGGACTGTGAAAGTTCAAATGAACTTCAGGATCACATTCAGACTTCTTTGAGTATTCATGCAATTATACCAGGGTAGATAAGGGTAGGGGGCCAGCTATATGTGAATCTGGAGACACTTAATCCATTGGCTCAGCATCACTGAGCCATATACAAAGATCCTAAGGAAATCAATCACACCTTAAGAAAATTCAATTAAATCAGGTAGAAGTTAAGAAGATAATTCCATCCAGTCTGTCCTGCTCTCTAGATTGGGATTCCTCGGGGCCATTGAGAGGACAAAGAGGGGTTGAGTTGGGACAGCAATTGAAATGTGGACTAATTTTGTTGAGAGACTGGGTAGACCTGAGTGCCAGGTCAAATGAAGGTCAAGCACACCCTTTGGGAATTCTTCTGGGCTGGGTATTTAGTGACAGACTTGAAGTAGTGTTGGGTACTTGGTTGTAAAGCTGCAATCTTGAATGCCCAGCACCCAGGACTGGCAAATCCAAGTGGAAGACACCGCATCTCAGTGCCTGCTGTCTCCTTCCTTTCTCCTGCCCCAGAGGAAGGTCCCAGTTTGACCCAGGTTGAGTCACATAGGCCTAACTTTGGGGCAGGAATCCTTACTTCAGATGCTAACCATAGTGTCAGGAGCACTATGACATATCAAGACTGAGCAAGAGCCATTAAAAAGCTAAGAGCTCTCTAGCTGAGAAGGAATGGTGAAGTGCGTGATGAGACTTGTTGCTCTTTCCCAGCATCAGCAGAGTACTTCTGTGTCCCTCCCACTAGTGTAGGGGACTGACTAAGACATGGAAACGACTCTAGAGTGCTGTAAGGAGATGCCAGGAATGACCACTTCTGGAGCAATCACTTTGTGCTAGGCACACTCTCTAATGGAATACTTACAGCAGTCTCAGTGAAGAACTGTTAGAAACAGGCTCAGCAAAATTAAGTGACTTGCCTCTTTAGTCTGACTTTTCATTTCTGTGACAAAATCCCAAGGGAAACAATTTTGGAGGGGAAAGTTTGGCTCATAGTTTCAGATGTTTTGGTTCATCATGGCAAGAACAGCTCACCTCACAGTGGCCAAAGGGGGAGAGAGAGAGAGAATGCCTATGCTATTGGGCTTTCTCCGTCCTTCCCTTTTGTTTCATCTGGGCCCCCAGCCTATTGGCTAGCGCTGCCCAAGTTCGGGGGTGGGGGTGGGAGCATGTTAATCCCCTCTGGAAATGCCCTTGCAGTCACACACAAGTGTGCTTCACTAATCTAGGTACTTCTCAATCCAGTGGAGCTGACAGTAAAGATTAGCCATCACACTTGCTAAAGGTGCCATAGTTGGGATGTGACAGGCATGAAGATTTATGTTTACACAGTCTAACACCAAATCTATGCCCTTCTCACTATACCACGTGGCATTCTTCTGGAGAGGAGATGGAACAAAGACTCGAATGGTTTCCGAGTAGGGACGTTATTAAATCCAGGTGAAGGAGACCATCATGTCTGCCATGCTAGTAGAAGGACACTGGAAAGAACTGTTTGCTCTCCAGTTTTGTCCTCCAGACCTATCTCAATGCCTGAAACCTGGGTGTGCATTGCTTTGACATAAGCACTGGGATCCTGCCTCTCGGAGCCATTATGAAGGAACTACCCTGATCTAGAGGCGGTGGGGGTGAGGCCTTCTCTTCTCTACTCTGGCACCTCTATTTTGATACATCCCAGATGTTCCAGCCCTTCCATTTCTCAGTATTCAGTGAACGTGAGAGCTTTGTGTTTTTCCTTCTCTTTGACTTGATTGTCCTTTGCCCTTGGGATAAGGGAAGGGGGTGCTAACAGCCTGGAGGGTAGCCAGACTATTTCATTTTGCAATCTTCAGTCACAACTGCTAAAGAAAACTTGTCTTGTGTTTTCATTCAGTGGGGAAAACACATTCTGTACTGCATGCTTGCATAACTATGAAACATCTGGGTTAACTTAGCTAAAAACTTCCTTTCAGTGTTACATTTGTGCTAGATGATATTGAGGCAGGCTAAAGCTAGCAAAGTTTGGGACTCATGGAAAAATATTACATCTCAGATTAACCATGCTAGGGCTCAGGGACCACCCTCACCTGGCGGGGAACCATTCAAGCCCCTCCCCACTCATTGATTACTGGATGGGAATCTCCTGGTTCCTCCCTTCCCATACAGTAGCATATATTTTAAAAGCATCTGAAAAAGAGAAGCATGCCCTCTGCTTCCTGGCTTCCACCTGTATTTCCCTTCCCTAACTTTTAATAAAGTCCATTTATACCCATGTGTCCTGCCATGGATTCTTCCCTACTGGAACACAAAGAATTTGGCAGTCTTCTGATCACAGACGCTCCCCACTGGTGACAATGTGGCAAAGCCAGCCAGCAGAAATGGTGAGCCCCAGACTCTACTTACTGGGTCATTTCTACTCTTTTTTCTTCTTTCTACACAGCCAAGGAAAATGGGCTGAGCTCTGACCTCAGGAAATGCAGCTGGGAGACCAGGGTTCACCAGGACCCAGTATCGTCTGCCAACGTGCAGAACTCACTCCAAGGCTAATGGGTGGCAGGGCAGGGTGCTGTGGTGTCCGCCCGCTGCATGTGTGGACATGCCATCCTGCACCTTGGTCCGAGGTCACCCCGAGGCACGCAGTGAGTTGCCAGGTCCCACCCAGGGGACACACACCCCAGGGGACGGACCACATTAAACCAAGATGCCCTTTTCCCTTCTTCCTCCCCACTTCTCCCTCGTCCTCCCCATCCTGCACCATGCGTGCAACACATCTCTGCACCTGGCAGCCTATAGACTCTCGCTCCCAAAAATGCCACTGTGTGGAGATCACAGGCCAGGGTCTAACCACCCAGCCCAGACAGCCTGGAGGATCAGGGCACTTGGGCGGTCTCCTCTCTGCGCCCATCCTCCACCCCCTAGGACCTGTTCCGTGCTACTGGCTGCCAGGGAGGCATGCCTCACCCAACCCAACTGGTCTCAGACTTTAAACTGCCTCTGGAGGGACCAGGGCCAGGGAACCATGCACGCCAGGTCTTAGAACTACTAGACACACACATACACACACACACACACACACACACACACAAAGCAAGCCTCCACTTCAGGCCACTGGAGCCATGTGGACCAAGTCAAAAAGTCCTTGTATTAGAAACTCCCTTGGTATCCAAAGAAGGGTTCCAGGCAGCTTTCACTCTCTACCTAAGGGCAATTTTCTCTCTCTACCAGCTAGCATAGGAAAAGCCAACATAGTCCGTTGGCTATATCCTTAAATACTGGGAGTGCTGTGATCCTGATAATCTCTATTTTGAGCCTGTATATTGCAGGTAATGTGTCTTTGTGTTCCGTTTGAAAGACCCTTTGGAGAGGCCCTGTGGTCACAGGAAATGCTGCCACTGTGTTGGAACCATCACGTGTCTAGAGCCATCTTGCCACTCCCTAGAGAGAGGAAACCCTGAGTGAGGACATCTTAACATACTCTGGGGAAATTTATAACTGGTGATTAAAATTCTCTAAATTAATATGGTTTTACTACGTTAATCTGTTAAGGATTGGACAAAAAATAGGATTTTATCTGAAAGATCTATTATAAACTACTTAAGAATATAGCTGGCTAACCTACTAAAATGATGACAAAATAATTTATTTAAGAGTGCACTCTGGATTAATGTGATTGTTTTGTGTGTCATTGTATTCTTTCTGTGTATGTCTTAGTCTGTCTCCAACCTATGTACTTGTGGCCACTGAGTTTTTACTTTTTTGAGCTTATACATGCATGCTGAAACTGACATTTTTTTTGGCATTCCTAGGTCAAAATATCTGTGGGTATGTGTGTAGATGTCGTTAGAATGATTCTTAAATAACTTTTGTAAAGTTAATATGTAAAACTGCTACTTAAAAAGTTATCTAAAGTTCTAATCCCAATAAGGCCTAACTATCCTTTGCTTTAGGACTAAAAATTTATGGACAATAATCTGTTTCCTTCTATCGTGAGTGTAATTTACACTTAACTCTTTCATAATTAGATTTATTGACCCATGTGTTCTTATAGATTACTATTAATAAAAAAATATAGTTTAATTTTCTTCCTAAGACTTTTAAGGTATAAGGTTGCTAAGAGATTTATTAAAAATAGTGTTATCTAAATGTAGGTTTTTACAAAGATTGTTTCACGATAAAAATTAAGGTTTTAAAGCTTATAATTTTATATGTATGTGTGATTGGATTGGCTATAGTTTAAAGTTTGCCTAGAGAGTTTTCAGGTCAAAATTTAAGGTACTAATGTATATTTAAAAATGGGTTTCTGTTTTGTCAAAATAACTGTCAGAGACTTTTGGTGCTACAGGC